CATTTTGGCTGCCAAGAGGGCACTTTAGCGCATGTTTTGGCTCCCAGGAGGGCACTTTAGCGCGCATTTTGGCTCCCAAGAGGGCACTTTAGCGTGCGTTTTGGCTCCCAGGAGGGCACTTTGGCTGCCAAGAGGGCACTTTAGCGCGCGTTTTGGCTCCCAGGAGGGCACTTTGGCTGCCAAGAGGGCACTTTAGCACGCATTTTGGCTCCCAGGAGGGCATTTTGGCTGCCAAGAGGGCACTTTAGTGCGCGTTTTGGCTCCCAGGAGGGCACTTTAGCGTGCGTTTTGGCTCCCAAGAGGGCACTTTAGTACGCGTTTTTCAACAATTGGGCCACGAGGGGGGGCGACCGCCCCCCCCCCGTGCACACCACTGTCAGCTATCCTTTCTGAAGTCTTCTTTGTTGTTTTTTTACATAAAGAGTTTGAGTGTTTGAACGGGGATCAGTGGGACATTTGGGGTGACAGTGATGTTCTTGTAATATAGTAAACAAGCCAAGTTAGCCCTCCAAGCTAATGCATGCTAACTATGCTAACAACTGATTGAAAATGTGTAACAGCATTTTTTTGTCATAAACTGTATTAATTTGTTGTGAGCTGTAAATTCACCACTTCTAAGAGGAAGGCGTGAAGATAACGGTATTTAGGAGCTTGACCAAGCAAAGCCTTTTCTCCTCCTGGTAGCTGCCTCCGTCTCACTTAGACTCACTCTTGGTCTGGATCCGCAGCTGCCTGTATTGGAGAGCAGCGTGAAAGCCAATAGCGCTCACTCTGCAGCTGAATCTGGGGACCGAAACATCCCCAGAAGTACACTGCACACTGACTGACCAGAAACAAAAAATGTCTGAGGGGGACTAATGATTCAAATCTTTGTCTTTCAGAGGGCAGCAGTAAAAAAAAAACATGAAAAAGACAGTGAGGATTTTACCTGATATCATCTCACATTGATTTCAGGCTCCTAAATTAAATCAAATCAAAATCTTACTGAGGCAGACTTTGTGATATCAGCGAATATCTTAATGTCTTCCAAAGACAGTACAATTGTCATGTCCTGGATGAATCTCATGCACCACCAGTCCAGCATTGAAAGAAAAGCCTTCACTTTCTATTATCTGTCTACTGGACAGTGTGTGCCTATTTGTCTTCGTTAAATACATAAAAACTATACAGTGCAGGTGAAAAATGGTCTATTAAAGAGAAAAATCTGTTCAAGCAAAGTTCTAGTGATGAGGAAATAACAAGCTAAAGCTGGCAGCACATTAGTCTGAATGCTTATAACTGTGGTTTGACCATGATGACTCATTCCCAAGAATGTGGAGAGTGTTCACTGGACTGTGAAAAGCTGACAGGTCACCAGAGGCAGTCGGTTTACAATTATATTATATAAAATTAAGATTTTAAATACTGCAGTTTGGTAAAAGAAGAGTACGTGTACATGCAGTTCACTTTAATCAAAGAGACCAACAGAATGATGCTAATTGATAGAGATACACCTATACAGATAGACCTACCTGACGCTCAGCCAGTCAAGGTTGCTTGTGACTTCACTCTTGTGAAGAAATAGAAACATTGTGATGAGTGTCAGGCGAGGTAGCCCTCCTGTTTGAACTTCCACCACAACTTTTACATGTATAGAAAGCATTCTCTCAGGCCACAGGAGACAGAAGACCTGACCTTAATTACCAAAAAACCTTGAAATTGTGTCCCACATAATTTACATGGGGGCTCGTGTGGGAAACCTTTGGGTCGAGGGGCGAGGTTTCAGTTAAGACTGGTGGTTGACTGTTGAGCAATTTTTGCTCATGTGGGTTTTCCAGACGTCTGGCAGTAGGGTGATAGGAAGCAGCTGCTCAGATCAGAGAGGGTAGAGTTATTTATAATGAAGAGATGCCCTGGGAGTTGCTGAAGGGACGGCTGGGTTCACACTCATTCATACACAGAGTGAAACAGGATGATGGTCTGGCTGGCTAGCTTCTCAGAGCAAGGCAGACTACAAGTGCTTTAAGTATGGTTTGGCCTTTGCAGGAGGGAGGGAGAGAGTGCACTGCTTAAGCAGGCTCACTGGAGCAGAAAGAAAGAAAGGAAACCACAAGTGGAACAAACAAGATTCGCTGCCCTCAGGAGTTCATGATACACAGCAAATAACATTGTCAAAATGTTGTCAAGATAATATGTGAGCACATTTTGGAGTTGCCATAGTTGTGAGGGCAGTCATCTTCATCCCTCCAACACACTAACTCCTATCAGAAGTTACCGGAGGCTACAAATGCACTATGAATTGCAAAGATAAGTACATTGATTTCTTCACACATCAATAAGTCTGACAAACTGCTGACATCTTTGCTTTCAACCCCTTGGCACGACTGTTGACAGGAGAAACTGAGACATCACTTTTTGCACTGTGGAAATAATTGTATTTGGTCACTGACCCCATTCCTTCACCCCGAGACTATCCTTTTCACATATTCAATCATTTTGTCACCTGACTTTACTGACAGCTTTGTTATTAAATTGTGACATGAATTTTATCAATTTTTAATTTTTAATTCATGTGGCGGTACAGTAGGTAGAGTGGTTAGCTGGGTAGCACTGTCACCTCACAACAAGAGGGCTCCAGGTGGCCCTTCTGTGTGGAGTTTGCATGTTCTCCAGGTCCTCCAGCTTCCTCTTCAGTTCAAAGACATGCAGGTTAGGTTAATTGGTGAATCAAGCCCCGTTTCCACCGAGCAGTATGGTACAGTTCAGTTCAGTTTGGTATGCTTTTTTTCCATTTACACTGAAAAGTTGTGGATGGTACCAATGAAACCATTCCGTACAGTCATTTTTGGTCCTCCTTCTGTTGGGGTACCTAGCACACAGATCTGGTACTAAAAGGTGGAGCTGTGATCACTGCAGTCCGTTGATTGGTCAATATTGATCGGTCACTCTGCTTAGGGCAGAGTTGTGGCTAGTTTTGAAGCGTATGTAACCACTGTTCATACCGTGGATAGTTTCATTAGTAGACTATAACTATAAAATGAAGGATGTTTTGCTGCCTCTTGCAGCAGCTGCAAAAGAACTTAATTCACTGGGCCGACTGCTGGCGACTTTTAAGGTGGAACATTAACTTGTAATGTTACTCAATGCAGAAGTTGATGACGTGAATCAGTCAACACACCTTAAACATCACTGTGACAACTTTGACCATTAAGTTTTTATATGACATACACTTTTAGTAATGAGTGGATCTTCACTTGGAGGAAAAAAAAATGTCTCAGCGCTTCGTTCCTGTGGGCTCCAGCAACACGCAACACCCAAGCTTGCTTTAGAAGGACCAAATGCACAAACCCGCTATTTTTAAATATCCCATGGAGAGAGACTCTCACTGCAGCCTGTTCTATTTTGTTCTGAAAATGTCGGCGTGCAACCTCGTTCTGTGGACGATAAACGGGGTGCAGACTTCCTTCTGTGTCACCGGTGAAGAGCCACATTTAAGATTACTAAATACCATGTCTGAAGGGTTACTTTTGGTTCCAAAGGTACCATACTGAAAGTGTTTGGGGGAAGCGGGGCTTAAGTTGCCCATAGGTGTGAATGTGAGCGTGAATGGTTGTCTGTCTCCATGTGTCAGCCCTGTGATAGTCTGGCGACCTGTCCAGGGTGCACCCTGCTTCTTGCCCAATGTCAGCCAGCCCTGTAAGACCCTAAAGAGGATAAGCCTTCAAAGAAAATTGATGAATGAAGAATTCATGGAAAGTAATCTTAAATTGCTTAAATTACTGTTCAATTTCCAGCCAATAGTCAATGCAATGAACACAGCTAAATTTCACTTTTACATTATTTAAAGGCAGCTGCTTCCAGAGGTAAGAAGACGCTTGATTACTCTGCTCTCCGTCTTCTTCTCTCTCCGTTCTTCACGTTCCCACTATGTTAAAAGCCTCGCTCTTGCTTCTCTTGTTTCACTTGTATGTATCTGGAGTGTTTACAGCACGCCTGCCTCCTTTATCTGCTGTGTGTGTCCCTCTCATCCATTGTGGCAGCGCAGCATCTTCACTGCCTGTCTGGACTAATGCTTTGGTAATTGACTTCCACCATGAGAACCCTTGCTTGGCTGTCGTAAATACCAAAGCTTTGTCATTCTGCCCTGCACAGGCCAGGGCAAAATGGGGAGGTGCTCACAAGGGTGAATTTATATTATGTGAGTTTCACATGTGTGTATCGCAGACCTATTATGGGGGTTGGTTTGTTCCAGACTGTCTGTGTCCTAATTTCCGCAGCACTGCTCATGAAAGTGAACACTTCTATCACATCTGCGATTTGTCGCTTTTAGCTATTCTCCCTAACTTTCCTCCTCCTCCACCTCCTATTCCTGTCTTCCTCATCACCCAGGTAATCTTAGGCCTGCTCCTGCCGCCATCCATCCTGAGTCTGGAGTTTAAGAACAAGGATGAGATGTCCTACATGCCCCAGGATCAGGAAGCGTACCTGCAGGAGAAGGAGGAGGAGGAGCCTGAGAAACCAGTCAAGGAGAAGGAGGAGGAAGACATGGAGTTCACAGTAAGATCTTACTGTGAGACGCAGTACAACTCCGTGGTGAGAGAACCCACCTCAGCCCCGCATCTCAGAATCTATACACATACTCAAACTTGGGACAATACACACACATGCTTTGTTCAGATTATGAAAGTGATCATTGAACACATAGCCCAGATTCTGTGTCCTTTGTAAAAATCTCTCGTGGACCAGTTTTATGTTGTTCCCGTCCACAACGAGATGTCAATACGTACACACATACGCACACAGTTCTCCACACACACATACTTGTTTCTCTATTCTGGCCAACTGGACCCTTCCAGCCAAATCGGCCTTTCCTGTTTCTCGTCGTCTCAGCAAAGACATGGTCGTGGAGTTGTAGCGTCTCAGTCTGTCGCCGCTTGTGGGTTCCCTCGTGTATGTTTCTTCTTCCATCTATCTCCTTTCTTTCTCTCTGCCTTTCCTTTGGTTCCTCTTGTTCTCTGCCCCGCTCTCTCTCTCCTTGCTCCTTTTGTTTCTTTATTTCTTTTGCTTTCAGCCCCCTCTCTCTCTAGCTCCTTCTCTCTTTCTCCCTCTCTCCAAGCTCAGTTCTGATTGAGGTACAGTACTGTATGCTAGCCGATTGCTGCCCCCTCACTCTCTCCCATCATGATGATGGCTTGCTGCAGCATACCACTCAGCATGTCGGCTGCTGAGCATGGGAGGCCCAGGCTTTTGCATTATATAACCATGTCCGCCTGCTGCTGCAGAGCTTAAATCATGCAGAGTCTGAGCACCTTCTCCCGGCTCACAGTGGAAGAGTTGGTCCATCTGCATAGACATGGATGTACAGCAGGATTAGGACTCGTTCCATTTCAATCCAATCAATCTTGGAGATGATACCAAGATCCAGTTTGTGTGTTGAAAGCAAGACTAGAAGTTGAAAGGCGATTTTAAGACATTAACTGGATCCAAGGTTGTTCCATTAAATGATTGAACTGAAGTTGAACGCCCCTCAGCACCACTGTACATACTCTCCATCTGCATTGAGCACAGCTAGCAAGCCAGCGCAAATGGGCCATTTTACACATGCAGTCCTTGAGGCGCAGTGGTGTTAAACAAAGAGCCCTGCTGCTAGAGGATGCATTTGCAATGAGCCCCTTCCTGTTGCCCTGGCTTCTGACTGTACAAATGCACCTTCAGATACTTATGAATCACACAAAGATTCATACAGATATACACAGACTGCTACACCACAGAGGGAGATTGTATTGTTCTATCCTCAGATGCTTTAGATAAACCACATTGTGATGAATGTTATAGCCTGTGTGATATAGCCTGTTTCCACTTGCTGATCGGGTAATGTGCATGTTCGGTACAGCAAAGGCATGGTGTGATTTACACCCTGGCATCTGAATCTGTTCACCCTGAAGGCCCTGTCTGTGTGTGCCTTGGACAAAACATGTAGCTGTATATGTTTCACATGTTTTGAAATAATAGAATTCCCCTGATTCCTGACTTCTACTGATGGTTGTATCACTATTGTACCTATTCAGTGGCCTGTCAACTTAAACCAACTCCTTTCCAAACCTTTTATCTTTACCTAGGTATGATATTCTGCCCTACAAAGGCAGACTGCAGTTCCTACACAGTGAGGTTGAGGAAAAAAAGGTCATAAAGTTTTCAGACTGGATGGCAACCTGTAAAACTGATAGAAAGGCCACAGTGCCTTCATGTTATGTCTTTTAAAGCTGATTATTTTACCTCAAAAACTTATTGCCATAGAACTCACACAATACCTAAAAATGCAGATACAGCACTCTGCCTTTGGATAATCACAGGATGCCTCAAGAAACTGAGGTGTCTTCCAACAAAAGTTCTCTCAGCTCTCTTATCTATTTTAACTTGTTTGTTTAAGAAAATTAACTTTGCAGTCCATAGCTTATCAGACTATAATATTTAACCAGTATAATACACTAATTTACAATTTAATAGGCCTATATTCAAGCATATGATTTAAAGATAGCTTAACCACACCAAGTCACATGAAATTCACCTAGATGGCGCCTACTGAGATCTGCTACGTTAGCAAGAGTTTTGCTGTTTTTTTCTGCTGCTGTTCTTTATGCTACTGCCTTTAATTAGTTATATGGAAATTGACAAATTAAATAGCCATTTTTTTTCATTTACAGATAATAACATGAGGAAAATCAATAATTAAACTTAGCTTTAGTTTTATCTTAGGCTTACACAAGCTAGCTTTCACTTTTTATAATACTTTTACTTAAAGGTCCAGTGAGTAAGATTTAGGGGGATTTAGCAGCATCTAGTGGTGAGGATTGCAGATTGCAACCAGCTGAAACGTCTTCCTGTTAGGATTTCTTTTAATTTTTCAAGAAGTTTTTCGCTGAGCTGAATTATCTGCAGAGGTATCTTCCTCCCTAATACAAATGGGCTGAGTGATTTAAACTGGTAAAAAACACTGAATAAAGCAGTTTCATGTTACAAATAAGTGTTTCTCTGACGCTGTTTGGCATGTCGGAGGTGGGCCACAAGCCCAGCACCTGCTAATGTGTGCTCACCTTTTTTCTCTTATAACTTAAGATCCCGACATTCAGAAGGTTTTTACCAGGAGCCAAATTATCCGCAGAGGTCTGTTCCTCTCCAAAACAAACAGACTGGGTGATTTAAACTGGTAAAAACATTGAATAAGTCAGCTTCATGTTAAAAAAAATCAGCGTTTTTCCAACGGTCTCATCACAGAGGGGCTGCAAACCATGGTGGCTGACATGAAAATGTGAATGGCCCTATTTAGAGCCAGTGTTTGGCTTGGACATTCTGGACTACTGTAGAAACATGGCAAGGCAACATGGCAATCTCTACAACAATTCTAATTTTCAGCATATCTATACCAAAAAAAAAAACATTTTTATTTTATTATATTCAATTTTTGCCAAAAAAAAATCCCCTTTAATCCTACACACTGGACCTTTTAAGATGTCTGGTTAGCTTTCTTTCTATGGCAAACAGTGCACTGATGAGTCCTGCAGCACACAGGTTACCAAGCCAGAGTGCAGATACTGTGTTTTTTTGTTTTTTTTTAATCCATTTTGCACTGCTAGTTAAGCTGTCTTCACAGAAATTACACAGCTCTATGGCATGATATTTTTGTATAAAGTAAATCAGATGTCAGAAGGTCTGATACAGGTTCTAACTAGTCTTGACCAAATATGTAGGTGCTGTGTTTTGCCTTTGTAGGGTAGTATACCTCTGACATACAATACAATTCCATGAATGAACTCCCTCAGAGGTCTGGTGTTGCTTTGACATTAAGACCATGACCCATAAAAACAGTGGGCTCCGAACCCTCTCTCATGGATAAGAAAATGTGTCACAGATTGAAGTGAGATATCTATGTCTTATCTTTTTTCTTTTTTCTGTCTTCTTTCTGTCATTATCTTGTCTCTCTTCTGTCTCTTAATTGTTGTCTGAGACACAATCCATGAGTGTCTGTGTCCGCGTCATACTGTGTTATCAGCCTTCACCCAACACTCCACCTTAAACACACATTTCACATTTTGGAATGATGACATTGCCTGTGCTTGCTTCTTTGATTATGGTATTAAAACTGTGCAGTCGACATAATGTGACCCTCTCACCCGTCTCCTTTTTTCTCCTTTTTTTTTCCCTTTGTTATTCAACTCTTCCCATCCCACCTCTTGCCTACTTGTCTTCATCTCTATCCTCTCTCTACATCTCCCCCACTCATCCTCCTCCGTCTTTTCATGCTTCCCTCTTCACACTCTCTGGTTCCCTCGCACCTTTCACTCCTTCCTCCCTCGCTCCATGTGGGGTTTGCATTCCCCCAGGCAATGCTGGGTAAGGTAACCACAGAGACATCCAGAAAGAAGGATGTTGAGGAGGTTCAGAAACGCCACCGCCTCATCCCCATGGGACGCAAGATATACGAGTTCTACAACGCTCCAATTGTCAAGTTCTGGTTCCATACGGTCAGTGTCGTCTTCAGCAACACCACCTATGTGCTCAGCTTCCCGTTAGCGCTGTCACTGCCTACTGTATTTCTGCAACAGCATCAATTCCCAGTTATCTGCCGTTAGCTTCTACTGCCACAGTGCCTCATTAACCTCTTGTTCCACCCTGTCATTACCCAACCTTACTGGGGTGGGAAAGTTTAGTGCAGGGAGACTGATGGAAGCAACATAGTGAGAAAAGTACAGGCCAGGGAGGGAGTATAAGGTATAGGAGATCAAAAAAGGAGGTTTTGAATTAAAAATGTAAGCACTGCAACCTCTGAGTCATGGCATATTGCCACTGTATTCAATATTACAGTAAGTAGATATTTAATATGAAGTTTTAGAGTGTTTACATGTGCTTCTTTCTGTACAGCTGGATTCTGTGACTGTAGATATCCTTAAAGTCTGTGTATAGCTTGTGTTTTGTACAGTATCAGCCCGTGAGTGTGCGTGCAGTCTTTAAAACAAGCTGATCTTTTGTCTCCCATACCCCGTCTCGGCCTCCTTCAGTTTGCTTGCCCAGCGAAAGCATCTCTCAACATCACCAGCAGGGATTTCACTGTTTATTTATGCTGAGAAAATATTTTGACTGCTTTTTGTTTCATCCCATTTTTCCCCCTCTTCTCTGGCTATTTACTCCCCTCCTCTTCTCCCCCTCGCTTCTCCTTCCTGCCCTTCAGGTTAAAGAATGATATTCTACTGTGAATTTCATTACTGCGCTCGCAGAGCAGGTGCTGGGATTTCTCAGGGTCAAAACGCAGTCTTTACCTCATTCAGAGATTTGTATTCAAACCCTTCACCCGCTGTAGAGGGCTGCCCCGTTTAAAGTAATGTTTGCCAAAGTTATCACACAAACCAACCTGTGCATGTGGGACTGATTTACAGTGCCAGTCACACTTTATTAAAATCACTTTACCTGTGTACTTCTCTGGAATACTCAATTAAGCATTCCCAGTTTGCTTGTAGTTACTTTCATTTATAATTTAAATACGTCAAAGCCTTTCATTTGTGTTCCAAATTTAAAGCTAGGATCAGAATAGCATAGCTGTCCAAATCCCTGTTGGTTATATTCATGCAGTTTAAGTGGTCTCAGAGGATACCACATCACCGACTGCTAGATCAAAAATGTCAAATACCTGACTGAAATCCAGTGATGTCAGGACCTGTGAATGAGGAAAACACGTAAAAATGGATTTTCAGTACATTTGTGTCAGCGCGTCCAGGCCCGATCTTTAGATGGTGATAATTTTTTTTATCTACTGTGGATCATGATAAACCACAGTGCGCAAATTAATGTGGACAGCTGACATGGATTTAAATAGATAGAGCCACAGGAGACTCATAATGGACATTTTCAGGCCAAGTGTGGAGGTACAGTAATCAGGTGTCTTGACATCAAATCTCTATTATCACATCTGAAAAACTGGATTAAAGGAGGGTGTAATGAGGGTCAGCCATTCACTAAATAACTGTTTAATCATAGCAGTTACACACAAAAGCCCCTTGAGGCAATTTGTTTGCACAGAAAGAATTGAACATATTGATGCACAGTTTGCTGTTGTGGGAAAAGCACACAAACACAAGCACATAACCATAAATGTGTCCCTACTGATTTCCTTCTTCTGTCACGTCTTTGCGTAGATGGCATACGTGGGCTACCTGATGTTGTTCAACTACATCGTCCTGGTCAAGATGGATCTGTGGCCGTCTCCTCAGGAGTGGATTGTCATCGCTTACATCTTCACCAATGGCATTGAAAAGATGAGAGAGGTACAACTGTCCTAGCGGTGGCTACATGCAAATGTGCACCAGCATCCACGAGTGTAACGATTGCACAATAATCAGGTCTAAAGACACAAAACTGGTCACCATAGTGTTGCCTATGGTTAAATTCAGCAAGTGCTGTGGAGGAGGGCAGAGGCTAAGTGTCATGTCCATATCATCAAACTGCTCATAATAGATAGAGAAAACTGTAGGGCAACCACTGAGGGGGAGGAAAAAATAACAGTGGGGTGGAAATGAAGTTAAGAGACAGAGAGAGGGAAGCAAATAAATAAAAGGAGTAAATAGAGAATATGGGTATGTGGCCGTATGAGACAATCTAGTCTGGCCTCACTCTGTGGCTGTGTTTGTACTGTAAGTGTATGAAATGCATTTATCATTATGGCACATCATTCTCAGCTGCACAACAATGCCTCCTCACACATCTGCTCGATGCCCTGACTGGCAAACTCATACTGCCCTCTGATGGTGGTCATGAAGTATTGCATTTCTATTATTCTATTCCAATCACTTTTGGGCTCACTTCAGTTGTCCCTTCAGTTTAAGAAACACATCTTTTCATCCCCAAGGTTCCTACAGCTTAAGACAAATTAAATTGAAGACTTTTTAAGTCTTTTTTAATTGCCATTTGGAATAAAATTTAGGACACATTTACAATGCCCAAATTGAAAGTTTTCTTGGCGATTCTATGCTGCGTGTGAGATTTCACTACCCTGATTCCCATCATGCTGAGTTTGAAAAACTTACTATATAAACTACAGCAATCCTTGTATACATTGGCTTTAACCGGTTTTAACTATGGCACGAAATCTTTGTTAAGTAGTCATTTTTTGTTGAATTTGCAGTTCCCCTTGTTGTCTAGGGTACAGTGACAACTAACTAGCAGGCAGTAGATCATCTGTTCTGAGTATCTTGACCAAAAACAAAATATAGCCCACTGCACAAAGAACCAACAAACACCCGCTAACATCTGGCTTTTGTATACATAATGGGAAAGGTTACAATCAACATTCATACACAGGTCAGGTGACTCTGCAGTGGTCATGCGTAGAGTATTTATCAGCTCTGGGTCTGATTGGCAGTAATGGAATACGAAACAGTTCTGATCTACTGGCAAATCTTGTGGGTTCCACTATTCTGATCTCAGTGATGTGGGAAAATCCGTCCTCATTCCTTCCATTGTCTTAGCATTTTAAGATTTTGGAAAGACTGATGTAAGACATTTTAATAATAATTAAGGCCTTCTTTTTATATTAATGAATTTAATGCCTTGTAAGACTCTTTAAGGATCTACGGGAACCCTGCCTCATTCCTGCACTTGAACATCCTCATCTTCCATTCTCAAGTAATTTCCCTCCAACCCTCTCCCAGATCCTGATGTCAGAGCCAGGGAAGCTGCTACAGAAGGTGAAGGTGTGGCTTCAGGAGTACTGGAACATCACAGACCTCATGGCCATCCTCATATTCTCTGTCGGCATGGTTCTGCGTCTCCAGGAGCCGCCGCTCATGAGCTACGGGCGGGTCATCTACTGCGTCAACATCATCTATTGGTACATCCGGCTGCTGGACATCTTTGGGGTCAACAAGTACCTGGGTCCCTATGTGATGATGATTGGCAAAATGGTGAGAGGAGGCAGGGGTGGTTACGTGTGTGTGTGTGTGTGCGCGCATGTGTGTGTGTGTGTCCTTTCTATCTACAGCATCTCACATTTCCTCTCCTCATTATGTATTCCTCATTTATGTCTGACTTTTAGTACCTTCTGACTTCCACACAGCATGATCCATACTGATTATGAGAGTTCACTGACTGCCATAATTTGCCATAATTACAAAGATTTAATTTGTATGTTGTGTGCAGGCTTGGTCCTAACAGAGCTTCTGTGGCTCTAAACCAAATTGTTTGATCTCACAGAGCACAAGATCAGAGCCTCTGATACATACATGAAGACAAAACTAGAGAAGGGATCAAAGGCTCGAATTTGTATCCGTCTGATGTTCAACTGTTCTTTGACATGAGCTGTGTACCACTGGACACAAATGCTCTCTGATATGAAAATCAGCAATTAGTTAGAGAGAGAAAGAGAGAGGGGGAGAGAGATTTGGATTCAATGACTTAGTCAGATAATCGGCACATGTGATGTTGCAGCACCATAAGCGGATTTGAAGTGGGAGTAGTTCAGAGTGATGAAAAAAAATACTGCAGTGTAAATAACAGCAGAAAACTAAAGTACCACCGTACCTTCAAGCCATCATCTGTTTCACTGGCATCCGTTACACAATGTAGTTAGACAAAGTCTTTATTAAAAAAGAAAACTGAAACATTATAATGTTTTTTTTTTAACAACAGCTGTGGCTCATATTTGGCCTTAAAATGTGACTATTTCTTAGATGTGTTTCAGCTTTCTAGAAACACAAAGCATGACACCCTTACTCGAAAAATATACAGAGGCTAGTGTAACAGAGGCCAGTGGAATATAAATGAGATGTATTCCCCCACTTCAGCCTGGTAACATCAATATGGGATTAACATAAATTAAGTGCATTTCAAATAATGAGTTTAGGTTTCATTCCAGCCAAGAATCTGACAGACAAATTCACAAAGAATGGAGCGCAGCCTCTGACAGCATCATGAATTGCACATCGCTTGCAAATACTATCTGCCCCGTCTCAAGGTCTGATTCACAGAAGACATTGCACAAATTATATTATAGTGCAGATACAGCCATAAAGTTTTGCAGCTTAGTGCACTGTGCAATTATCTATGTGGCAAAGTATTAATGTTGCCTTTATGCCAAGCAACCCCAAGGGGGGTGTCAAAGGGTACAGATGCCCATGGCCATGAAAAGTCTATGGTTGACCCTTAAATTGGATCAAGTACAACAATTAACTTATTGACTTATATTAATGACAATACAAGTTATATATATTTGCGTGATAATGTATTTTTATCATTAAAATACATGCTGCCACCCCCAGGTACTGTGAAATGGTGCGGTCCATCTGACATGGGTCAGGTGCACTGTGTGCAAAACTCACAAGTGCTAACGATGTTAACATGTAAGGTGGACTGCAGCCTGACTAGCTATGTCAGAATGTCTCACAAAACGTCAGGAGCTCCTGATGGAAAAGCCAGGGTACAGAGAGAACAGGAAAGTGAAAGGAACAGAGGCAATGGCCAAATGTACGGCAAAAAAACACACTTAACACAGAGTAGATACAAAATACATGTGGAAATATGATTGATTGGATGATTTTCGCAGTAAGTATAAAAGTTTGCATAGCTCAGCTCTCTGAAGACGCTGATGATTTCACTGTAACTGTGTGTGGCTGTTAACACTGATCTTTGTGAATTCGACTGTCTTGGTTTGAGGCTTATTTGCATAAAAAGGGGCAAATTTTGCACCAAATTTATGCATGTTACCAAATTTAAATATGTGCAAACAACACAGGAGCACAGAGACGCTATTTGCTTGGCAGTACAGTTAAGGGTGCAGTTTCTCTTTGTCGTATTCATGTAGCTTTAGCAGCCACAATCCTTTAGTGAATTTGACCCTGAGAGGGATAGTAATCAAAAAATGCTAATGCAGATCATCATTCATCAAACTGCCTCTCCAACTGCAACAGACCAACACATTCCCTCACTGCTCTCTTGTTTTGCCTCATTATTGCTTTCCTCTCTTATTCATGCCTTCTTTTTTTAATCATCCTTCCTTCTGTAAACATCCTTATCAACTGCTACCCATTTTTTTCCCTCTTCTTAAACCACTCACCCCCTCCCTTCTCTCTTTGACGGCCCTTCTCTACCCCCCTCCCTCTCTCAGATGATCGACATGATGTATTTTGTGATCATCATGTTGGTGGTGCTGATGAGTTTTGGGGTGGCACGTCAGGCCATCCTCAACCCTAATGAAGATCCGTCCTGGATGCTAGCTAGGAACATCTTCTTCATGCCTTACTGGATGATCTACGGAGAGGTGTTTGCCGACCAGATTGACCGTAAGTTCAGGGCCAGAGTGTCAGAGCTTTTGAATAAAAAACGTAATTTTTGATAATTTCGAGAAGAATAGTTCCTGACTCTGAGGAGAGATGGAAACAATGTGACCAAATCCGCACCTTTAAATTTTCAGTCATTCCTCCACAGGTCAATGGAAGATATCTTTTTATAACACATAAAACACTACAAGACATGTTGCATCATATTTATGATAGTTAAAAAATTGTATCCCACGTCTTTTTGTCAAGTTACTTCTTACACGAGGACATTAATTTTTACTGTCAGTTTGTCCTGATCTTTTTTTGTCTCCACATTATTTTATATTATGTAGACAAAGTGACTCAATAAAGTGTCTGTGAGAAAATGTCTTGAGAGTGAGAGTGCGTTTGTGTGCTGCTCTGTTGTCTTTCTGTGTGGTTGTGTATATGAGGGTGTGCACAGAGTGTGAGGCGTGGCCCAAAGAGAAGAGATCTGAAATAATGTTTTCATTCTTTGTTTCAGATTTGCATAGTAGGAAGTTACAGCACAGGCTGAATGAAAAACTCTGGCTGGTCGAAAATTACATTCGAACTCACGGAACCTGGCGTAGTAGTGGTGGTGGTACATCCCACATTGCCCAGTGCAGTCAAAACAACAGTAAATCAATAGATATATAGACCTCAATTTTATCACATCTACCTATCCCACCTCTCCTTCATCATCCTCACATTACCACCATGTCATGCCCACTCCTACCACTCGAGGCCACTTGAGACAAAAGTGTGCATGCGGCTCCACACGCTCTAAGGTTAAAGTTGCCCTCATGTGTTTGGCATCTTGGGTCAGCTACTGTATCCAAACTGCACTATATTTAAACACCACAAGCTTGTTTAAGATCATTTAAAATGTGTGGCAGTCTGATTGAATGAGGCTGCCTGTCCTCTCCAAATGTTTGATTGACTAAGTAGTAGCTTGACCTAAGGCTATATTTTGTAAGCAACTTTACCCTGACTAATTATGGCACTGGCTGGCAAATGGCACTGTTACGTGGCAGTAGCACTTTTCAAATGTGCTGTAATATTTTCATGCTCTTTGTTTTTGGTCAGTTGTCACATCAAGAGGAACTATCAAAGCTTAAAAGTTTGATATTCCCTTGATGTTTCTTCCACTCGTTTTGTTCCTTGACCTTCGATTAGTTTCATTTGAAGAAGTGACCCTGCCATGTTAACACCGTCTGTCACATAAACCATATCACCCTCCCCTTTTTTTACGCCGGCTCCACTTCTCACTGGAGCAAATGCAACATTGCCAAAATATTTCTAACAATAAAGCCAACATTTAATATCAGAAAGCATTGACGTTTACATATGAAAACCACACCATGCAGGAATAAAACACATGCATACACACATCCACACCAGAATATATTTATCAGCCACCTTTCATCATCTGTAATCTGTTTTTTCACGTGGTTCAGTTGTCAGAGTTTTTAAATCCAAATTTTTTGAAGGTGAAAATTTGAAAAATAGAAAAATTACTTCAGTTCTCTGTCTTTGGGCTGCATTGTGTGAAACAATTGAACATCAAGCAATGATGAGCATGACTAGAATGAATCTCAAAGGCAAACAAACCAAGAACAAATGCTGAAAGTTCCCCAGATAAGCCACAGCAACTGAACCATCACAGATGGAAAAAACACACTATGTATCCGAAATACATTCCAAATGATTCACAGCAATCGGCCATTGCTGACTGAAGCTATGGCACACATATGTGACAATATATTTTAAACATCCGCTGCATGTTTAAATATATTGGGAGCACAAATTGTGATGAGACATGATGAATGTATTTTATTTTGTTTTCAGATGCACATTTCTGAACATGAGCCCTTACCATTATAGTGTCCACTCTTTCCAGCCCCTTCTTTAAGAAGCATAAAGACAAATTATGCTTCTTGTTTGTTTGCAAAATATGTAGTTATGCATTTTATTTGGTATTTTCAGGTCTGCTTGTCTCTTTGTTTGTTGACGTTGTAACTCAGTGTACAGTATGTGCTTGAGCGTTTTATGTTTTCTCTACTTTGCTTTGGTTTTATTATCATTTTATTTTTTTCTATCTACTGTTTATGTCATGCGTCTGCATGTCTTTCTAATTTGTTGTGCATCTACAAATTTCTACTTGAATACTATATTATTATGATGGATTTAAGTCTCTAGCTACATACATAGTTTACCTTGTATTAACTCGTATGTGTGTGTATTTGTTTCGTGGAGGCGTGCAGCCCCCTGTGGGCAGAACATCACTACAGATGATGGGGTGGTGGTGGCCCTGCCTCCCTGTAAGACTGGTGCCTGGATTGTCCCAGCCATCATGGCCTGCTATCTGCTGGTGGCCAACATACTGCTGGTCAACCTACTCATAGCTGTGTTCAAGTACGTAAACTCTCTAATAAGTTTAATTCTTCCAACTGTAAAAAAAAAAAAAAAATTGACACCACACTGCTTCACACAACTCAGGACCTGACACACACTCAGTTTGGCACCATGATAGGAATGATTTCTCTCTGTCCTTCAACACTCTCACAAAAACCATATCACTAAGTCATGGTTAGGCATGGGACTATAAAAAAATTTCATGTCACAATGATCCTGGCCAAAATAAATATGATTCATGATATTATCCCAATAATCATCAAAATATACTTGAAACTAAAATGTGCTGGAGTCACCTTACCTTACATTTTGTTAAGAAACGCACACTTGCATCACAGATAAGACACAACTTTTTAAATGAATATCATTTATTTGAGTTGGCATCATATATTTATATGAAATGTGCCATTGATTGATTAGAATCTTTTGTATTTTGAGGTTAGTTTATATGCAGCCGGTTTTTGCAGAATCTCTTTTACAGATGGTTGCCAGGCTCTTAAGGCGTTGCTGGACACGATATTCACGTTTATCCAGATAATGGAATCATATAAAATCATATATCATCCCATCCCTTGTCTGCAGCTCAGCAAAGGCTCTCCAATTTGTATTTCTAACATGCAACAAACAAGTGCACATTATGCTAAACTTGAGCTTGTTCCGTGGAAACACTTTCCCAAGAGGCAGTATTTTAATATATATATATTAGTGTAGAGCACTATGCTACACTAATTAAAACCTGTTTTAAACAAAGTAGACATAAGTGTCTTTTAGACTTTATTTGAGATGTGTGTGTTTATGTGTGAGAGGAAAAGAGAAATGACAGTAGTTTGTGTTCGGGCTAATATTAAGCCACACTCACAAGAGGCTGGTAGCAAATTGTATTAACAGAACGGGATGGCGCTTCATCCACAGAGACATGATCATGCAAATGATCTGTTATTGTGCCTCTGAATAATCTGTGTAGCAAGAATGATCATCCTCCTCTCCATATTTGTCAATATTTACCAAAAAGTGCCCAATGGGAAAAAGTTGAGTTTTAATCTCATGACATATTAAGGTAACAAGTTAATGTGCTGGCTGTTGTATTTATTTCTATCTCCATACACTCAGAGCATCAACCAGTCTTTCTACTTTCGGAAGTGGTTCTGATCTTTGTTGTGCCACTGATGACTTGATTCACCGGATGTAATATTTCTTGGTTGGTGTGGCATTTCTGTCCTGTCATTGTCCGTCATCATAGTAACACATTCTTCGAGGTGAAGTCCATCTCCAACCAGGTTTGGAAGTTCCAGCGCTACCAGCTCATTATGACCTTCCATGAGCGCCCAGTCCTTCCTCCACCCCTCATCATCTTCAGTCACATAACTATGGTCCTCAAGCACTTGTGTTGTCGCTGGCGCAAGCAAGATGACGACGAGAGGGACTATGGACTAAGTGAGTGGCAGATGGACATTAACAACCCTGATAAACTTGGACGGTGTAAACAGAATTATTTTTAGAGTTGTAATTTATTCGTATCACTGTAGTTATTTTCAATATTCTGTTTTTTAACGGTGCTATATATATTCTGGATTTGAACTTTTGCTATAATTATACTATGACTCAAACTGTTAAATATGGCAATGAAGCATTATCACTTCCTTAAACTCTTTCATCCACAGAACTTTTCATCACAGAGGATGAGCTAAAGAAAGTCCATGACTTTGAGGAGCAATGCATAGAGGAGTACTTCAGGGAGAAAGATGACCGATTCCACTCTTCTAACGATGAAAGGATCAGAGTCACTTCTGAAAGGTTGGAAATAGCAATGCAGAAAACTTTTGTGTCATAGTGCACATTTCAAATCAAGCAAATCAAACACATGCTGCAAAATACACACAGCAGAACAGAACAGAGACACAGATCAAGATTAGATAAAGTTTTATTTAGTTAAGTTTAGTTGCACATGTATAGAAAATAGAGGAAAAAGAAATTAAAAGTTAAAACATTGTACAGGAGAGGTTACAAGCCAAAAATGGCTTATGAAGATACCTCATGACATCCGACATGAAGCTAACAACAATCATAAATAAAAAGAAAAAAAAACAAAGTGTTAAAAGTCTTTGCAAATTAGAGTCCTTCTCAAGTGTTTTTTGAAAAATGATAATGTAGATGATGATTGTAAAGATGGAAGAAGGATGTTCCAAAGAGATGGTCCTCTGTATTTCAGTGTATATTGATAAAGAGAAGTCTGGAAGGACAATATGGAAGATAAAGGTCCTCAGAGTGTCTTGTGGAATATGACTGAATGTCTGTGGAAAACTTATGAAAAACTCTAGGCAAGTCATGAGTGAGATGTACATATTTATAGATGAATACAATGTATATGTACAGTATATATGTATATGTTAACATTAAAAAATGATAAATTTTGGTATTTTCTAAAGAGAGAAGCAAATGATTCACATTTTTTAGCAGAGCTAGTCACTCTCAAAAAATTCTTTTGAAGTAGAATAATCTTATTGAGGTAAGTGGAACATGTGGCAACCCAAGCTGTATTACAATACATAATACAAGGGTAAATGAAGCTATAGTAAAAAGTTAAAATACAGAGATGATCGACCAGTGAACAAACTCTAATTAAGATACCAATTGACTTCATAGTCTTTTTACAGACAAGTTCAATATGGTGTTACCAAGTTAGGTTTTTGTCTACTATGACACCTAGAAATTTAATGCAAGGTATTATTTTGATGTTGTCTATGAAAATGTCTTTGAGAGAGATTTTGTTCATCTGAAACCATTTAAATTTGCTTCTTGAATGAGTGTGCTAAAAATTTTCACATGAAGATACCAGACTAGTATCATCAGCAAATAAAACAGGCGGTATATTTTTGCAGACCCTAGGTAGGTCATTTATGTAAATCAAGAACAAAAGAGGTCCAAGAATGGAGCCTTGAGGTACTCTGCAAAGTAACTTAGCTCTATTTGAATCATACCTATTAATAGAGACATACTGCTCCCTGTCTGTTAAATAATCAACCACATTTTAAAGCAACATCATTAAAGCCATATTTCTGTAATTTTGCATTAAGAATGTTGTGATCAACAGTGTCAAAAGCATTTGACAAGTCTAAGAATATGCCAAGAGTAATTATCTTGTTGTCTAAGGCTGTGGTGTTTTCGTTGACAAGCTGCAAAAGAGACATTTCCTAGAACCATATTGATGGCTGTACAGTATGTTGCTCTTATCCATAAGCTTTTTCACTCTGGAATATACTAGTTTTTCAAGAACTTTAGAAAAACATGGTAAATCAGATATAGGACCATGATTATTACATCAGCTGGATTCACCTGATTGGAATAGGGGTATGACTTTAGCTACTTTAAGGTCACTTTGTACAACACCTGTTCTGAACGATTAAGTTAAGACATGTGTGAGAAGCTCAACGATAGACAAAACTACTTTCTTTACAAGGCTAGATTGTATTTCATCATGCCCTGCTGAGGAGTCTTTCATCCCTAGTATAATGTTCTGCACGTCTTTAGAGGTAGGAGGGTCAAACATGCTTATGCATGAAGATTTCAGCTGTTTTTTTACCGTGTCTTCTTTCTCTTCTTCTCTACTCTACCAGGGTGGAGAATATGGCAATGCGTCTGGAGGAAGTCAATGAAAGGGAACACTTCATGAAGGCCTCGCTGCAGACCGTTGACATCCGTCTGGCTCAAATGGAGGAGCTGATTGGAAGAATTGCTGTAGCACTAGAGCGTGTGACAGGTGTTGAGCGCGGGGAGGTCAACAAAGTACGTTCGCGGACTTCATCTGACTGCACAGACTCTGCATACATACTCCGCCAGGGTGAGTGCCCAGAAGCAGCATACATCCTGCGACAAAGCAGCTTTAACAGCACAGAGGGGAATGCCTACCGCCTGCAGGAGGCACTGGAGGGAACAGCTGAGGGCTCCATGTCCCCTCCTTCCCCGACTAGCATGGCCGCACGGACAAGGAGCCACTCATTTTATCACGGTCGTGGTGGTGAACGTGCAAGTGGAGCTGAACGAGCTGAGAGCTTTTTCAAAGAACGCTCCCTCAGTCTCCATCGAGCCAACAGCTCACAATCAGTGTCCTCAGGTACCGCCCCCAAGGAGTCTAAGCCCCTCCCTCTGGCGACGCTGTCGGTCTCCCAGCAGCACCGTCCATCATCATGCATTGATATCTATGTCTCAACTTCTGAGGAGGTGGGTCCTGCGGAGGTCTTTCTGGATCCTCTCCGAGTGGTCCCACCGCTCCAGAGGGACTGCTCGGTGCAGTCGGATACAATGGAGACGGTGCTGCCGGGAGGCCGGGACTTCAGCAGTGCTGCCACCAGTGGTATGGGCGACAGGCACTCGGAGGGTGGAGCAGGCAGCAGCGGAACAGCTGGAGCCATGTTTGATGACAGTGCAGCTGCTGACTTGTCGTTGTGCTCAGCCCACCTTTTACCAGACACCACTTTACCTCCTTGGGACATGGAACCATCCCCACCTCCCTCAGCAGGGCTGCTGGAGCGCTCTAAGAGCAGCCGCTACCTCTCTACAGCAGGCACATCATTCCTGGATGAGCCCCCTCTGGTGAAGTCACACAGCCTCATGTTCACACCAAGAGGCTGTTACAGTGGAATAGGTGCAGGAGTCCAGGTAAAAGCTGCAGAGTACACCAGCATCACTGACTGCATCGACACACGCTGTGTCTCAGCCCCATACACTCCTGCAGAACGCTCAAACTCCCCCGGAGGATCCACCTCTTTCCCCTTTGATAAGCCGCCAGACATTGCTTCCTCTCACCCGGAGAGAGAAGCAGAGCTTAGCCACACAGAGTCTGATCCAGAGGACCCTGAGGACCTGATTCCGGCCCCTGATACGCCTCGTCTAGGGGGCCTTGGTGGGCCCAGTGGAGCCCCTCTCTGCTCCCCCTTCTCCAGGCTGGAGCGAGCAAACAGCTGCTCCTCAGACGACTCCCATCCTTCCCTCACGCTGGCCCCTCCGCACCGGAAGAGCCTGTCGGTGAGTGAAAGGATGGAGAGGGGACCGGGTCTGGGGGCAGACAGGGGGCCTGGGCCGGGGGGCCGGGGTCTGGCAGGAACCAGAAACCCCTTCCTCAGGAGCAAGTCTGGCGCACGGCCTGAAGCAGCCAAGACTGACAGCCTCTCCATGAGGAAGCTGGCCACTCCGTCAGCTTTCCGCAGCTTTGATAGACAAAACTACACGTGACAAGAACACTGGTTGGCACACTCACACACTGATAGGACCAGGGAGGAAAACTGAAAGGGCCAAGGGCAAATGGTGAAAGCAGGGTGAAGTTGCCCATAGATGATGATCTGAACCAGATCTACAGTTTTTTCACTTACGTTTTAGGTTAGAAAAGATGGTAAAAGTTTATTTATAGACAGTACTGGGGAGGCAACTTTACCCTGGATCGGGGGGGGGGGGGGGGGGGGGGGGGGGGGGGGGGGGGGGGGGGGGGGGGGGGGGGGGGGGGGATGGGAGATGTAGGGGTCCTACTGTACACCAGTCAAAAACAAAGAGCTATGAATCTAGAGTAGTTTTTACCTCCTCTTGTAGCTAAGTAACTCTCAATGGGGTGTTATGGCAATGGAAGGTGTATTTGTACTGTATGTCTTCCACCCACCACCTTTACGTCAAGTAGACATCTGTCACTGTGTTACATCACATATCAATCACGTAAGTCAGAGAAAGTGTACTGTTACTCTACTCCTAGCTGCATTACATGGTAGAAACTGTCAAGTCTGAGAGACAGAGAGGCAAAAGAAAGAAAGACAGCCACCTCATTTTGTCATTTTGTCTTAGCGTAGAGTCATTACTGTCGCAAAACTTTCGCTTTAAATGCATTATCCTCTCTTCATATAATCCTAACTCCACTCTGTAAGAGCCAGGCACTAGCAAACAGAGAGAAGCTATTATTTATGGCTGCTTCATAAAGGATTCAGTGAAGTGTTTGAAACCATCGGGAGCTACAGTATGTCCTCTCTTGGTTGCACTGGAAATGATTGCTGTAACATGGCAACAACTTACCTCTAGATACACAAATACACCTTTCAAATAATCAATATTTATCTCTTTTTTCAGAAGTATATCAAATTTGCCTTTCGTTGTCTTGTGTTTTTTTGTAGCATAATTTATCTACTCAACTGTTTCTTTAAGTCCAGTTTAAAAAAAGAAAGCAGTGTTTTAATGTACACCAGTCAAAAGGTCATTACTCTATCACAAGTCTACAGTCATGGCTGTCGTATGTCAGCAGTCTGTATCTGCAGTAACAACTGGGTTTAATTAGCCACATGATAAGACTGAAAAGCTAAATGTTATCAGGAAAAACGCGAGAAGGAATGTGACATGAGATTAGCAGGTGACAGCATCCAGTGTTTTCCAACTGATGTTCGGGGGAACAGGAGTCGAGGCATGAAACTATAACAGGAAATGGAGATAGAAGAGTTTAATCAAGTGCATGTCGACATTCACATGCGTATTTACATGTCTACACACACACGCACACATACACTGTCAATCTTACATAACACTAGAAAATAAACTCCAGTTCAGACCTGATCCCTGAGAGCTTTAACAAGTGCAATTGCAAAAAATGGGGGCAAGAGGGCGCTATGAGCCTATTTCTAAAGCAATGCTTGCTGGGTGAACCTGATGTGAACCTTCTTTGCCTGCACCTGACACCAAAAATCCTTACACTCTCTTGTAGCCCAGCCCTCCTCCTTCAGGTTTTGGCAGTGGCATTATGTTGCAATGGTTTTACACCCACCTACGCCTAATGGATCCGTCCTTCATCGACTCCGTAACTGTCATTCATTTGCTTTTCTCCTTTATTTTGTTAATTGCATTCAGAGCCAGACACTGCAAAAGGAGACTTTAATAGAAAGCAATTACCCGATGACTAAGCCCATTATAAAACATATACAGAGTTCCTACAGAAAGAGCTAATTTATGAATTTATTTTTAAAAAAAAGAAGCTTGAAATAAGCTGTCAAGTATATGCATTCTAGCTGAGATATAAGGAAGACGTGCATTTTAAGCGACATGGAGGAGGAAACATGGGGTTATTATTATTAAAAGATGAAAGCCAGATCAGTGTTTTAAAAAAAATATCTTTTTTTAATCAAATGGGAAAAGTCTGGGGGGGAGGAAGATGTCCTTCTCTGATGGCTTTGTAAAGATAAGATTAGGTAAAATTAATAGAATTCTTTCTGATTTTTTTTTTATTTTTCTTTTATATTTCCTCACTATTACAATTTAGTTTAATCATGTTGCATTTATTTTGAGATTGATTCTATTTATTGACATTTCCTTGCTCATTATCGACGATTACAGTAAATGCCTGTTTGAATTATGAAATCAATATTTATATCTTCTCAGTGATATTTTTGTCAAATTTTAAGTATTTTCTAATTAAGCTTTTAAATTTAATAAAAAGATGACCATCGACATGCACTAAATGCTGATGTATTATATTATTTATTAAATATAGAATTGTCTGATATACTGTACATTTCAATCATATTTAAAGTATTTAAAGTAGTTTTTATTGTATGTTTTATCAAGCAGCCTCTGAGAATTTTCTAATGTGAAGTTGACACGGCAATACACAGTTGCCTGAAAACCAAACTTAGGGTGCCTTTTGGGCATGGATGGAGTATGTGGGGACTGAAGTGATTCAGAAATCTGTGAAATTTCTCATTTCTTGTTTTTCTCCCCCTAATCATAGAGCCTAAATATCTGTGATTATTTTCAACATGTGGCTTTTGCATACACTCATAGACCTTTGTTGTTCTCTTTAAACACATCTGATGTACAGAGCGGGGGATATGTTGTTACTGGTAGACTGTATCATTGCTTGTATGGACATTTAAATCCACCGAAACACAGAGAGATCTCATTGAGAATAATAAATCTGTTTGCACATGAAACTGAGACAAAAAGGTGAGGATATAGCATGAATTTGTATGATCTGATTTATCTCGCTTATCTCTTTGTGTCACACTCCACAGTCCTGTTTGATGATCCAAACTGTTCATACACCTGTTAGCTCTGACCCAAACCCTAAAACTTAAAGGGGCTCTCCAGTGATTTAGTACTGCACAGGTTGGGGGACTTTTTAGACATAGACTTTTAGTCCCCAGTATGGATCCTACAATTCCCATGGTGCAACTCAATAGCATCTTTTTATAGACTTTCCCTGACTGTTAAATCATCTCATCTTTCAAACCCCTTATTCCTAGTTGATAAAACAGGTTGTCTGTGAAATATTTGAAGTCTCAAGCCTGACTGAAAATAACCCTGATGACATCATCAGGGTTATTTTCAGAAGCCCCCTTTACACTGCCTGTTCAAGGTGGGAATGTTGCACCTTTATTCCACCTTGCTGTTGGTTATAAATGTACGATTGCACAATGGGGGGACACAGTTGTCTTGCCTTTAAACTGGCAGCGTAAGTAGTAACAGCACCGGATCGACATCTGTGTAAAAGGGATAACAAGTAAGATGGGACCATGGACGGGACAGGTGGGATGTTTTAACAATGGGTTATGTGTGCGACCTACTGCCGGGAGATTTCAAAAGCAGCTAGTAGCAGTTAGCAGCTGTCTCAAAGAAGAAGAATAGATGATGATTTTTTTTCTGCAAATTGGGAAGTCAATGAGGTCTGGGAGCTCCTTACCCACCGAGCAGAGAGTAAGATCAGTCGCCATGTAACGGGGAAGGTAAATGACTGTAATAGCCATGTTGTTGTTTAGAAAGCGCTGCTAACATGTATGTTATATGTCACACTAGAGGTTCATGCTATATGTTGTCACAAGTCATGCCTCTTTTGCCTCCAGGACGCCAACTTAAATCACACACGGGATGGCATGATGCCACCGTTCTTAGGTTCTGTGTAGAAAAGGCAAAGACAGTGTAATGAAGGGACTTCATTATTGTGCGAACTTGGTCTAAAAAGGGGCTTTAGACTTCAGAAAGCTCCATCCAGAGCTACACAAGACATACAACTGTGTTCAGAGGCTGAATAGCAAACTAAAATTGGTGGAGATCCCCTTTAAAACAGTAATTACAACACTATTACTTTGTGGACACATGCTCAGTATGGATCACGTGAGTTCGAAAGATCAGGCAGGAACACACTTGAAATACCCAGATGAAAAATGTGATGTTGTGGCCCAACGGTACATGCAAAGGATCGGATTTGCAATTTCCTCAACAAATATGTGGTTTACTGTATGTTTAAGAGAGGAAAGGTTGACCCCAAGTCAATACTCAGGGACAACGTTACCCCAGTGATGCAAGGTAGCAAGTTTATTATGGTGGAAAGAGAGATAGAAGTAGAGAGGTTTGGATTTGTCTGCAGCAGAAGGCCTCCAATATAATCACTGTGCTTTAGGAGTCTAACCCAGAGTGTTCGGGGATCGTAGGGACATCTTTTTGTGTCTTTTGTCTTAAGAAATGGCAATAGAAAATGAATGAATGTCTTCATACTTGATCGACTGACTTTTTTGACCCACAGGAGTTTAACTTCTTCGCAATCCAAACAAGAATTGTGTATTGTCAGAGAGGGCTTTGGTCCCTCACACGCTGAACCAAACCAAACTTTACCAAACCAAATGAAAAGGAGCTGAGTTGCACTCTGCTGACCTGCTGTCTACACAGCCACAGCTGACAAGAGTCAACCAAGCAAAGTTCGCAGAGTCCAACTCAGTTATGCATGGCTTACTATGTAAACAGTTGACTGTGTCGGGCTGAAAGTTAAGACCCTCCTGTTTGTCCTACTGTGATAGAAAATCTAAATATTATTTTTAAATTTGTTTATCCTTACAGTAAGGAACATGAGATTACAGTGTCCAAGTGTCCAAGGCACTTCTAACTCGTGTGTACATGATTCTATAAATGGTTTCGTGGTATGTTGACATGGCTGTAAGGAGGCGTGTGTAAGTGCGTGTACATTAGCTGCGTGTGAACCCAGACATATAGATGACACCAGTACAACACAACCTGACAGAATCTCAGTGTACAGTATTTTTTAAATATTTTCCTATACTGTATCTCATGAGCATATGATGATAATCAGCTTCCTTCCTATAACGACCTGTGACTCGTAACCTAAAGAGAGTTCCACGCACGTTTTTTTTTTTTTTTTCCTGCAATAATTGCTGATGTGCTTATACAACTGAAAGGGACTTATCCCCCTACTGATCACACTTTATTTAATGTCCTTCAGATGCATGCAGTTCTTCCACTCAGAGTGTACAGAGACGACCTGTAAAGACGACGGAGAGAAAGATAGAGAGAGATTATAATATGAAATCAAAGTAGTGAGTATTTGGATGCAAATACAAATCTGTATTCTTCAATGTGAATAGGATCATGTCTGGCATGCATTGTTAAATAA